AATTAAGTAAACTTTACATATTTTATATGCTATTAAAAAATTTAACTTGTGAGCTTATTTGCACTTTCATTGTAAGTTTCTCGTGACTTGTGGTGATCCAATATTGGTCTAGCACTGATGCATCCTTGATCTGACTTACTTTCTATATCTTAAAGCTAAATTAGTATTTCAGTTTGCCACTTACATCAAAAGGTACGGAGATTCCTTCTCCATGAACAGAAATAGTTAGTCCACACAAATAATGGCTGTTCTTTACAATAAATTATCTCTACCAACTAAACATAGTACTAATTATTACCTTTTTTTTTTTAGAAAATAGTAATAATTATTGCAGTGATGAAAGCAGTAACCTTCATAATTATTCTGTGAACCAAATTTGCCATAATTGTCTCTTCTTGTCTTTAGCCTGTTGATTAACAGATCTTCCCTTTTCTTTATGTGTCTACAAATAGCTGTTTTAGCACAAAAATAATTTAAGTGCCAAGCACCTTCCCATCTATTTGCATCAATTGCAACTTACAATTTTGTTTCAGTACAACCATCAAAATGCTATATAGATAAATCAAAACTGAGCCTACATTCTACTTCACTACAACAAAACTTCAACTTAAATCCAGATACCTCACAATATGGAAGCCAAGATACAAGAATGCCAAACCCGTAAAACTTTTCCCTCTCCAAGTTTACTATTTATTTTCACCTTCAAAAGAAAAAACCAATGGTGCTCACTGGCATAAACATAACCATCACCTTCTTAAATTACTCTGTTCACCTTCATTTCCCTTATCCCCACTGCAGCAGTAGAAATGAGGCAGCTTAACCCGACCACAGCTCCTAAACGAGGGAAAAACATGAGAATCTGCACATAATTCAGGGTAAAACAAACCAACACGAATTGATTTGAAGTTAAAGTTAATTCCTACAGTTGCTTTCTTTGCTTGGGAAGCAAGTAAGAATTGCAAATTGACAATTGATAAGCTGAAGAGAAGGGGTGTTATCATGGTTAATAGATGCTTTTATGTAAAAAGTAGGAGGAATCCTGCAATCACATCCTTCTTTGGTGCCCTGTGGTTTTTAATATTTGGACCATGGTGTATAGTATTTTGGGAATTGATTGGGTAATGTCGGGATCAATTACGAATGAGTTGTGTGCTTGGACGGGCTTATGTGAAAAGAAACACTATTTACTAATGATTCATCTATCTTTTGGATCGTGTGGAAGGAGAGAAATAGTAGAGTTTTTGAAGGTAATGAGAGAGAGATGGGTAATATTAGAGATAGATGGATCCAGGTTTTTGTTTCTATGCTTTTGGGTCATGACATTAATAGTATGGAAGATTTTGGGAATGTCGTTGATCATCTTATTGTCTTGTAAATAATTTTTATACAGGTGGTATCCTTTTGGTACCATTGTGAATAATACTTTTTTCCACTTTTATTTCAAAAAAAAAGTATGTGCCTAAAGTATTAAACTAGAACTCTAGGTTCTGAACAAATGAAAAATTATAATTTATTTATAAATATGCATTGCTGTTATAATTTGAATAAAAATTCAGATTTGCAACTAAATCCTAAATATTTTTGCAAAGTTCATTTGTTCCAAGCAGAGTATAAGAAAATAAGTGAAGAGTTATTGTACAATTGAAGTGATTTATCAGCAGATCTAAGAAAAGAGCACTTCATATTGGAAATCTTTGGAGGCAAATCTTTATACTATAATTTCTCTCCTTCAGCACTTAGCAACTTCAAACTCATAGAAGTTAAAACGTTTCATCGTACAGACGACTACAACTTACTTTTTGTCAGGGTAAATTAACTAAGCTTCCATTTTATTCAATCATTACATTGCAGCTGGCATAATCTTTATAAAAGGAATTAAGTCAGTCAGCTCAGTAAAAAGTTCTCCGAGTTTACAGACAATGAGCTGAATGTTACCAGAGCAATGAAAAAGACACCGAATATTCCCTCCACCTACCAAAATCCAAACTTGTAGAAGAGAATTTTACTGCTATAGGTTCAAACAAGATATTAATCAACAATTCAAAATTTACAAAGATTCTATTGGCTTTCTAAAATGACAAGCACACTAAGCGCAAGTAGTTCATACATTTCCATATGAAATTGATTATTTGAGTTTTGAGTCTTGTTTCTAACTCTCTAGACAAATAACATGCCCATCCTAAATTTTGCCCAAAAGTAACTTTTAAGTATACCTAACAGATTAATCACACATCATAATAAAATCAAAGATATCTTTTTTTTCCAGATAAGTTAACTGCCACTAAAAAATTAATCACGAAAAATAATGAAATAAGAAGATTCAACAAAAACTCTCACTTGCAACGAATTATAACTGGTGTAGGTTTCAAAGCTTTCGGTCCATTTCTTATGCCTCTCTTATGAGGAGAAACCTGCACAGTTGAATAAGTCAAATATGTAAAGCACTATGCCAAACACGCCTTCCTCGATCCCCAATTCTAAAACACCGAAAACCTAATACCACAAATAATCCAAACCCAAATCGCCAAACAACTCCAAACATAAGAAAAAAAAAAAAAAAAAAAAAAAAAAAACTAAACTTTGCTTTCAAGTGGTAAATCATAATAGGATATGCACTTCAAGAATAACGGAAATGAGTCCATTTTATTCACCTTCTTCTTCGGGACAGCCATGAGCTCCATTGACGCACCAAAAGAAGAAATGGGAAATCCAAATCCAATGATTTTGTGATTACCACAACCTGAGTGGTTATGATCAAAGTTCGGCAAAACCATCGGCGGCGATGCAGCCAGATAATCAACAATGTTATCCAAACGCGTAGGCATGGCGACAGCATGTGTCCATCTCCTGAGTGGAGACATGAACAGCATGTCAACCGACGCTCTATTGAGGTTCGTCAGTCTCAAAGCCATGATTTGGGACTGTAGCATCTAAGGCAGAGATTCGGAGTTCCAAAGATGGTTGGTGCTTGGCCTGCGTCGGGTCAGAAGTCGACCCTGAAATCGGCGCGGCCAGACGCCAAGTTTTATGAGGGGAGGAAGGATATGTTTGGGGAAGTTAGTGTTCAGGGACAAGGGTGGCTAAAACGACCGGATAATTTTTAATTCTGATTACTTGACAGGGAAAAAAAGTTATTTAATTTTTATTTTTATTTTTAAAATAAATTTTTCATTTTTATTTAAAATTATTATTTAATTTGTCAACAAAAAATTTTAATTAATTAATTAAGGAAGTAAAATAAAATGTATTATTTAAGACATGCAAATCTAATTATTTTAATAATTTGGGTAATCTTTTTATATAAACTACATTTTAATTAAATATAATTTTAGAATGACCCATACGTGTCGTCACCACACTAATTCTAAAGTTTTTTTTTTTTTTTCACTACCTATTAATTTTATAAATAGAAGTTCTCCATCAATATTTCACAGAAAATACAGTACGAAATCTTCAAAAATTAGGAGCAAGAGCATGCCTCCTTTTTGAGAGTAAGACCAAGTCTCTTCTTTCATGTCTACTTCTCGAGTAGATCTTTTTGAGAATAATCTTCAAAGAATCCCTTGTTTTTGAACGAATCATCGAACACCAAAGACTATCCCACAATAAAACTCAATGAAATTTGAAATTGAGTGAGTCTACGTTGTTTATATGGATCTGCATGCCCCCAGGAGGTTTATTACCAGGCTCCACCGACTTTCTACAGTGTTCTCCAAGATATTCCCATCCAGAAAGATGCGAATTACCAAGTTCTTCTCCATGTTGGTACTCCTCTCCCTTCTTCTTACTCTATCCGTGATTATCCGACACCAGCCGTCTGATTGGATCACGGGATTCGCCCAAGCTAGGCATCTCGAAGGCAGAACACCTCAACTGAATCTCACCAAAGCCAGTACGTTGTTTCTTTAATTGATGCACAATCAAGACTTTTAATTGCGATCAGGTCATTTAATTAAGTTAACTTTGAACGGCGACTTGATTTGTCCTTTTCTATGGGTTATATGACTAGGTCTCCTTTGTGTGTAGTGCATGAAAAGATTAGTGAACATGTTCTAATGGAATCATCTTCTCGTTTAGTTTCTTCCGTATTGTTTGTGTGTTTAAGCTACAAGTATTCTTCCTGTGTTCTTCAAGCCAGTCTAAATTCAAACTACTAAAACAATATACCAACTATTCAATTTGAAGAAAGCTTTTTTCCCGCTTTCAGGTTAAGAAAGTGAGTAGTGATTTTAAATCATGTTAAACTCTCGAGAGATCTTATTTCAATATGTTAATTTGGTGGGTAGTTATTTTGAATTCAAAGTCATATTCAGATTCATTGACCCATTAAATGAGAGACTTGTTTACTCTTCTGAGTTTGTTGCTTGCTAGATTCTCCTGATTTCTTTTGTTCCTACAGGCTCTGACGATTCATTAGATCCTCGGGCCCTTACTAAAGACAAACTACTCGGTGGCCTTCTTGTTGCTGGGTTTGATGAAGATTCTTGCCTCAGCAGATACCAGTCTGCTTTATATCGCAAAACTGCACCCCATAAGCCTTCTTCATATCTCCTTTCCAAACTTGGAAACTATGAGAAGCTTCATAAACGCTGTGGACCCAACACGAAATCCTATAAAAAATCCCTTAAACAACTCAATTCTGACCATACTGTTGGATCCACAGACTGCAAATATATTGTTTGGGTATCTTTTAGTGGACTGGGAAACAGGATACTGACTCTGGCTTCTGCATTTCTGTATGCTCTCCTGACCGACAGAGTTTTACTTGTCGATGGAGGAAAGGACAATGCTGATCTCTTCTGTGAGCCATTTCCTGGTACATCATGGTTACTGCCCTTGGATTTTCCTATTATCAATAACTTCAGCCAGCTTGATCAGCATTCAGCCCATTGTTATGGAAATATGCTGAAGAACAATGTAATAAATGCTTCAAGTGAATCTATACCGTCTTATCTATATCTCCATCTGGCTCATGATTATGGTGATCATGATAAGATGTTCTTCTGTGATGAAGACCAAGCTTTTCTTGGGAGAGTCCCTTGGTTGGTTATGAAAACAAATAACTATTTTGTCCCGTCTCTCTTCTTGATTCCGGGATTTGAGAATGAATTGAGCAGATTATTTCCTGAGAAAGAAACTGTTTTTCACCACTTGGGTCGGTATCTTTTTCACCCCTCAAATCATGTGTGGGGCCTAATAACCAGATATTACCAATCTTATCTAGCCCAGGCAGATGAAAGAATTGGCATTCAAATAAGAGTTTTTGATGACGGATCTGGTCCTTTCTAGTATGTGATAGATCAAATTTTAGCCTGCACTCAAAGGGAAAAATTGCTACCTGAAGTAGATATGCAAGGACATGATCATGTCACTCCATCGGAGAACCCTAAACTGAAAGCTGTTCTGTTAACATCATTGATTTCAGGATACTATGAGAACCTGAGGAACTTGTACTGGGAAAACCCAACTGTGACTGGGGAAGTGATTGGGTTTTACCAGCCGAGTAATGAAGAATATCAGCAAACAGCGAAGCAGCTGCATAACAATAAGGCTTGGGCGGAAATGTATCTCCTGAGTTTAACTGATGTCTTGGTAACGAGCTCGTGGTCTACATTTGGATATGTGGCTCAAGGTCTTGGTGGTTTGAGGGCATGGATCCTTTACAAGCCTGAAAATCACACAACTCCTGATCCCCCTTGTCGAAGGGCAATGTCAATAGAACCTTGTTTTCATGCTCCTCCATTTTATGACTGTAAAACAAAGAGTGGAATTGATACAGGTAATATTGTCCCTCATGTCAGACATTGCGAGGATATGAGCTGGGGCCTTAAGGTAGTTGATGATCACGACGAGTTATAAGTGGTCCTCCAATTCACATAATTGGTACTATTTGAATTAATTGATTATTAGACGGTCTGATAGGCTGCTTCCACGTTTTCTGCATTGTCCTTCAGAAATCTTGTACAAGCAGGAGCAGTACCAGAGTGGGTAATAGTTTTGATGAATCACCCACATTATTCTTGTTATATGTAATATACGGAGTTTAAAAGAATGGCGGTTCATCTACTATTCATGTAAATATCTTCGTAGCTGGGTTCGTACTGTGTAAAAACTGAAGGCAGAGAAAATCAAAGAAGAAAACATATGCAAATGGAGCTCCTTTCTTATCCTGATGAGTAAAAATTTTAGTTACAAAAGACCTGCTACAAGCATTAGGTAGAAGTAGAGCCATAAAAGAGTCCAAAACTATTTCAAGAATAGACACAACAACCCCAGAATCTAGGCTAGAAGCTTTTGCCCCTAACTCCTGGTAGGATCGTTTCTGACCCTTTTGGTAAAATCTTTGTACTTCCATGGAACATCCTGCATAAAGTAGAGAATGTATCTAAATCTCTCTCTCTGTAAACCTGAATTTTCTTTTTTATTATTTTACAAGATTAAAGCTCATGAGGATGAATCCTTTGTACTTTTATGTAAGTTTTTGGGGTAGTATGTTGATATAGATCTTAACACTCAGTCAAGATTCGAAATAATAACAATATATATTTTATGCTAATGATTGTCATTCTGTATAATGTCAATTGTAGAATGGAGATACTTTCGACTTGCATTTTAACAGTTTGTCTGTAAGTATTGGTTGAATGTTGATGACTATCGTAAGTTGAAAATTATTACTGTCATTTATATTGACTGTATTTTTGTAAGTATCAATTGTTATTGCTGGTCTCACTTGTTTTTTCATTTCCCTTTTTCTTTTAAAAAATATTATTCTTTTAGTTGTTACAATTGTGTGTGTTTATATATATACACATATATTTTAGAATAAGCCATTTAATTAACGTACTTATTAAATAAGCACATATAATGTGATTATATTGTTGCCAAATCCACTAATGTACCGCAAAATATTCTTCTGTTTTAAATGATCCGAATATAATTTTCTAAAAAATTATTTTGTCCAACGTTAATTTTTTTTAACTTTCAACTTAGATAATTTAATTTCAATTAGATTGTATAAATTTTATTTATGCTATAATTATATTATTAAAAATTAATGATATTGCAGTTCCGATGGTATTATGTGTTAATCTATTTATTTTAATATATAAATTGACTAAATGATTGATTTAACAAAATTAAAAAAACAATTGTGGTAAAAACATGTAAACATCTATTTATTTTAACGTACAAAATATGACTCTTTAAACAAAAAAAAAAAAAGCTATTTTAAAATTCACAGAATTAAGTGCAGAATGATGAGATCGAAATAATTTTCCCTTAATAATAATAATAATCTTAATTTATTGAACAAATCTAAGTAGAGGGCAATAGTTACCGGAGGAGGTTAAAGGCGGAAGTATTGGTTATATTTGTCAAAACAAAAATCAAGAATCTATCCTCCCAAAAAGAGTTTTAGAATTCATATGCTCGGCTACGCGGATTAAAAGAGAAAGGAAGTGAAATCGAAGAAAGGACTAGCAAATATGTCATTTCAGGAAAGGAGATTTGCACTCTAAAACCAGAAGGCTCATCAAAGACTCGGCTAAAATCGAGCTTGTTTGGCTCAAAGCTGTGGGACAATTCATATCCTCTCTCTCTCTCTCTCTCTCTCATCGTTGTTTGGTTGTTTTTGTTTTTATTTCAATCATTTTGTTGAAGTTTTTGACTTCGAACGAGTAGTGCAGTTTATGACTTCTTTTTGGAGAGAAAATGGGTATGTTATTATCATTGTTTAGGATTTATAAGTTGGTGGAATTGTACCATAGATTACTATATGCTTTTAGTTTAGTGATTTAAACGGACAAGAAAATTTTTTGTTGGTTGGATTTGTTGGGTATTAAATTTACCATATGGACTTGTATGTGTAAATTGTTACGCGTAAAAGTCTATCAAATTAATTATAACCAGTTAAAAATAATCTGATACGGTTAAGGGTATATTGAATTTTAATGGATCAAATTAAAGAATAAACATTCTTTTATGTGTAAAGACAAGATCTGTAATTCTTAATTTTGTTATTAATCAAATTAACTGTTAAAAAATTAGAACTAACCTTAATGCAGAAGTAATAGTATAAGATGCTTGCTTTTCTGTCCACAAAGAATAATTATTGATGCTTTTTGTTTTCTATCGGATGCTACTAGAGTTTTGGGTAATCTTCACACCCAAAAATCCAAGTCTGCTTATAGTTTAACTTTACGTGAGAGAGAGAATGATAATATTTTTTTTCTTCTAAATATTATCTACTTTCTTCAGTAAACAGAAACAATTTTTTTCTCATTTATCTACTCACCAAAAGTCATATTCTTTTACAAGAAGGGTTTTTCTCTTATACACTTACGAATGGTCATGTCTTTTTACAGTGGGTATTATGGACGTTTCTAATTTTATATAACATCTTCCACTCGGCCACACAAGCTATATTAACCACAATATACCACTACACCAACATATCTCTCACGCTTCATACAGAATATGGGATGTGCGACCAAAAAGTAACAAGTAGTGTTATATTAAGTCACCATATAACTAATATAACACTTTCATATTTATGATACCCCAGATTATTTGAACATCACCGTTGGCATACACTGTCCCTCTATGCTATAATTATATTACTTGGTTATATACAAAATATAACTACCCGGACTTATGTGATGATGTAAGAAAGATTCTTCCTTAGACATTCATTATAAAAACCCGGAACCTTAGATAAAATAAAATCATAAATTAAATGCAGAAACTAAATAATAGAGTTAGAGTTTACATTCCTTACACAACAATTTAGAATGCTCAATAGGGCTACGAGAATGTTCATTCTAAAAAAACAAATGAAAATCAAAAAAATAAACGAAAAGCAAATCACTAAACATTCACTAGCTTTTGAAGGGAGTCCGTATGATGAACTATTCACAACCTTCTTGTTGATTGAGATATGGATCGTGGTCCTCTTGATATCAAATAGTTAATGAAAGGGTGAGCTACACTATCCCAATAAGAATATCACACTAATTACAGATACGAAAAACTGAAGATTGGTAAAAATCAGAAAAAACAATCAATTGAGCCCTTAATTTAATATAAATTCATTTACTTTAAAGAAAGCCCTTTATTCCATGTTTGTATAACAAATCTTTCACAACAATAACTTATGAAAACTCATATTCATGCACTATTATTTATCATATATAAGATAACAAGAAACGATCATTTTATATTTTTACCCACTTACTGGTACCCTTGGGAGTCCACATAAATGTCTTCCTACTCATGAACCCAATATTCAATTAAACAATTAACTGGTCGTTCTCATACCTTGTCTGGTAATGGGCGTCAAATATTCTACCACCTCGATACCTCGTACAGTATAAAAGTGAACCATATTTTCCAAACTTTACTGGTAAGGGACTTCTCAGCCACGTCTGACTGAGGTAACATTCACGGTAGAGTTCTCTATATATCGAATCCATTCATCCTTTTTTTCGGTTACCCAATAAGTCTTTTCTATACAGATTTCAATCAGTATAACAATCAACCACGCAATAACCATATCTCATTTTATACTCACAGTTTACTTAGACAACAATATAATTTAACATAGCTAAATAATCAATTACCAAAATACCGGCACACAATGCAGGGGAAACAAATAACCAAATAACCAAAAAGACCCTAAAAATCATCAATCGAGTTACGCATAGTATAATAGTAACCAAATATAGGCAATATAAAAAAATAAATAGAAAATTGAAATGACCATAAACTAACTGGTTTCAGCTCCAGTAGTAACCTGTAATTATCTTTAAGGTTCTCTAATTATTCATAAAAAAATAATTATTAATTATTAAGCCTCATTTTACCGTAACGGAGAAAAATGGTGAGGGATCCTTACCCGAATCGGTGTCCGAAACACCGAATTTTTTACTGTACTTACTGGCAATCTCTAGGTTTCCTGTGGAGATTAAAACACCTTTCACGTACCTAAAAATACTCCAAAAAAACTCAAAATTGGTGTTAAAAATTCTTTCCGACCAATTTCAGAGTTCCGGCACAGCAGCACCGCCTTTATAAATATCCCTGCGAAAAAGCACGTTAGGGGGCCTCGGTTGGACCAAAAATATAAGAAAATGGAAACCTACCGGTGGTGGAGTTTTTCGGGTGCGGCGGCTCCACCAGCTCACCTTCACGGGTGGGATTTTTTCTTTGGTCAACCTGTAAAAAATAGAACGGTGAACAAAACAGTAGAAAAATTACACAAAACAAGAAACGGGAAGGGGCTCATCGAAGAAGGTTGCGAGTTTTGCCCGCGATGCCGCTGTTGGGTTTTGCCCATGATTTTTGGCTCACCGCCGTTCTTTTTGCTCTGATATAGTCATAGGGGTGCTCATAATCAAATTTCAAGCGGGTATGAGAATTTTTACTTTTTTTAGCAGTCGGAGGTGGCTCCAGTGTGGCGACAGTCGGCGGTCGGCTCCCTTTTCCAACGACTGGTTCTTCTTCTCCGGTGGGAGGTTGGTGACTAGGGTTCGGGTTCAGTGTAATGTAAATATTTATACTTATCTCGCATTAGTTTGGGCTGTTCATCATTTTTTATCTTGACTGTTCGATCGCGCCGAAGAAAGAAACGAATATGAATTGTTCATCGCATTTGATCTCGACCGTTCGATCACGCTAAGGGAGAAACGGATCTAAACTGTCCATACGCGCGGGATCACTTCTGGGTCGTCCGATCGCGGGGTATGCAGATTGCTAGCGTGTCCTTTCACGTGACATCGAGTCAGCGTGCTTTGCCACGCGGCACACTCCGATTCGTCGAGGCTGCTGACTGGGTGGTCCTACGTGGTCAAATTTTTTTTATTTGAATTTTAACCCCCAATTTTTAATTTTTCTTTCAAAAACACACTCCGAACCTAAATTTTCACCCATTTTTTCCAAAATTATTTTCAATTTCATCCCTAACCTATTTTTTTTTCATAATTCCACATTAAATTAAAATTTATTAATCTTAAAAATAAATTTTTTTATACATTTTAGAATGTTAAAATTAATCTCGGGCCAAATTCTGGACCCGAGTATTACAACTCTCCTCCCTTTAAAAGAAATTTTGGTCCTTCAAATTTGTCTCCCTCTCACTCAATCAAACAAATGGGGTAACTGAGCTCTAAAGTCTGATTCTAGCTCCTATGTGGCCTCTCTTTGTGTGTAATTCTGCCATAAGATCTTAACGAATGGAATTTCCAGGTTGTGGAGTATTCTGCTCTTTCAGTTTACAATACTCATTGGTACTTCCTTATAAGACAGATCCTCCTTGAGTGAAAGAGGCTCGTGGGCCAAGATGTGAAAGGGGTCTGAGTTGTACTTGCGTAGTATAGACATATGAAACACATTATGAACTCTAGGTAGTTTTGGAGATAGTGCTAGTCTATAGGCAGGGGTACCAATTTTTTCTAAGATCTC